GATAATGTTTCACTAGCTAGTTTGTTTTGTTTCTGTTATCAGTTGTACTCCTACAGGACAAGATGAATTTTAGATGGGCTGTATGCTAGGGAATTTTAAAGGGGATATGTCTTTGCAGTCAAACAGTCAGTAAATATGATGCAGATTGGCAAAAACAGAATGAAGGAGCTTGTAAATGTTAGGATGTGTCTCTACAAATAAAGATCAGAATTGTGTAGTCTGCCAGCTGGAAAGTAAAAAAGCAGGATTAGACAAAATACGGATGCCTTTGAGCTTAGACATGGCACAGACTTTTAAGAGTACCTTGGACAGCAAAGAAAACCAATGGATCCTTGACCAAGTCAGGCCTCACCTCTCACTCAAAGCCCAGATAACCAAACCTAAAGCGCATGAGAAGTTCTTTCTCAGCTAGTGCACTGTCAACCAATTCAACATTTATAATTAGAACAGTTGAAGATAAAAGAGGAAGGCGATGGTCAGCTGCAAGATAGATGGACACAATCAGAGGAACCAAACACAGGCAGGACCTTTCAGAACAACACTATACATATGGTCACCAAGAGGCGAAATCAACTTTACAGCACTTAGTGTTGGTGAGGCCCCCTTCAAAGCCCTTATCTATCAAGGTTATGATCAGCAACTTGTGATTTCTGTCGGTTCTTTATATTCTGCATCAGCTCAACATTCTGTTGTGTTCATAAGCTGCCGCATGAACATACTATTCCTGGCACTGTGACAGTGATGGCTGGTTTGCTATTTCACTCTCTTTTTCTGTCTCTTGTATTGCATTTCATCATCAGGCAGCCTGTCAGACCAACCACAGTGATTAAAATCCCAACCAATATCACCTATTTTATAGATTATGAAAAAAAAAAAGATTATAACAAAGTGTGGATTTTTGGTGCATCATTTACTTACTGAAATGAGCACTGTATATAATGCTCTATAATATTCCTATGATGCACACAGTCATCTTAATAGATTGTGATATGAAGTATAGAGGATGTGGCATCTAATATTTCATTACACCATAAAAGAAGGAGTTTATGATAGCAGCAGAAAGTGAAAGCAACTGAAGGAGGCATAGCAGATTAGTTAGATCAGATAATTAATCATAGAAACAATTTGTCACTGTCTTAACAAAGTCTTATGTCTCTGAAATGGTAACTTTTTCAGAGGAAGAAAAGATATTCTTAATTTTAATGTACACTCATGTAATAATTTCATTTTAATAATTTTGTCTTTCTGTTAGTTTAATCATCACGAAATGTCTACAGAACTGAAATGCCAGCTGTGGTTTTCCAATAATGTAGAGAAACAATTTGAAAAAAAGGAGTTGCGAAGTCTGCTGTGACAGTGGCAGGCCTAATTAACATCAGTCTGACAGTAGGGTCATACAGCCAATCCTGTGGCATGTTTGTGTGATGGTAATCTGATGCCAATCAAATGGGAGTGTTGAGATTCCACAACGTTTTCTCCAGTTCATCAGTAGCGGGAGCGTGCATTACTGCTTCCTGTGGGAAAGCTGTGGGTTGCTATGGAAACCACAGTCAATGGGATTGGACAGAGGTTGCAATTTCACTCTCATCCTCCGTGTGTGTATGTGTGTGTCTGTGAAGGTGTCCTGAGCACACTCAGGTGTGAGCTGAAGGATGCTTAGCTGTGAAGTGTGACTGTGTGTGTAATCGTCCAATCTGAAGCACCTAATTAGTATTCCACACTAGGACCCACGTTAGCCGGAGCAGTGTGCGTTTCGGAAATTGTACTGCAATCAGATGGTAAGAATTCAATTCGACTTAATTTGAGGTGGGAAGGCGACATGGCTCTAGAGCCTGTAGGATAGTCAATCAAATCCCCTTTCTGCATCAGAGAGAATGAAGAGACTCTAGTTCAGTACTGCAGAAAGAGGAGAGAAGGGAAAAAAATCAAGTACAGCACGGTCATTCTACAGGGCTCACTGACTTTAAGCCTACAGAGGTTAGAATCACCGTTCAAAAGTTTAGTTTTCAGTGTTGCAGATACATGTATAAAGTGCTTCTGATCAGGATGTAACAATAGACATCCTGTCAGGTTTCATATGTTCACACGTACATGAAATCCTGCAAATTAATCAAAAGCTAAAATAAAAAAAACTATCGCTAAATAACTGGGATGTATAAATAATATCTAACAGCAAAATAACAGAAATAATAAACTTATTCTAAATAGTGCAAAATTAGTTCTAAATAAAAGCAAGCAATCATGTGAACAATCATGAACAATGTATGAATTGCTTTCCTGTAAGGCTACAAAAACGGTGGAGCCCTCAGACCATGTGTCAAACACTAGGCTCGTGGGGCAAGTCAGGCCCGTTTCACAATGAGCTGCGCTACATTCCCCACCTCAACGTAATGTGCGCGCCAACCCCACCTCCCTCAACAACAATGTACAGGACAGCGTTTACACCACAAAAAAAAGAGATGCCAGGCAGCTAGGTCAATCAAATATAGGCAGGTTTAAAAGACATTTAAAGATGTTTAATGGTTATCTGTAGCTAATATAGTCTATTGTTTTATTTAAAACAAATTGATTTCATTTATATTATTAATAATATTAAATTATAAGTATTCAGTGCATATTGTATTGTTGCCGTTTTGGCATATTTTGAATAAACAATGGCAAATTTAAGACATAGCAAAATTAAAAATGAAATAAAAATGCAGCGGGTCCATGGATTCGTTAAGATTTTTAATATGGCCTTTTAGTGTTTGAGTTTGACACCCCTGCTTCAGACAGTCAGACAGCTGGTGAAAGAAATGTCTATCACTCTTCTCTCCTTCTATTTTTGCCCCTCCAATCTGCTACAAGTGATAATTGTCTGTAACTTGTTGTTTACAGTTCAAAATCTGTTTTTTTTTTCACTTAATACATAATTGAAATTTGTTCCTTTGCTCCACTTCTCTACGGTGTGTTCTCCTTACATCAGCAGCATGTAGACCGTTTTTCATGCTTTTCCACAGAATATGATTTCTGTTAACAAGTCTTTCTCTCTCTCTTTCCATCTCTCTCTATCGGTCTTATGTTACACTGCAATCTTTTTTTTGAAGAAATGTGATTAAGCTCAGTCTGAGAGAGGAAGAGAGAGAAACAGAGAGAGAGAGGAAGAGAGTATGGAGTTTCTTCATAACCTTATATACTGTCATGTTACTTTCTCATCACTCATGTAAAATGAGGAGGCTGGGTTTGTTCTTGTTCTAACTTCTAATATTATACTCTGGATCTGTGTGAGTGTATGTTTGTGCTGTGTGTGCATGTGAGAGAAAGTGTGTAAATACACTTTGATATGAGGGTCTTCTCCAGTAGTAAACTCAGTTAGCCCCCTGCAGTGTTTCTCTCTGATATGAAACTGAGACATTTAACCACATCCACAAGATATTGTCATCATGCATCAAAAAGCTTGGAGTGTGTGTGGTATGTATGTGTTGTGCATATGTGGGGGCCAGACAACTTTTCAGCTGACTTCTAATCACGCTTTCACTGTAGCTCCCAAACACTATCCATGAAATAGGCCTACATATTTTAGACGTACTGCTTTTACAGTATTAATCAATCAGTGCTGAACAGATTTTTGTTGTACTAGGCCTTTAGTACAGACAATGTCATGTCATGTCAAAAGTTTATCAAAAACATAAGAAATAAGCTCCTCTACGATAATAATTTCTGCCAGCACCCATATGGGATTCTAATAATATGTTAGCACAAAGCTAATAGCAGTTCACATCGTAGTTTTGGACTGCTCTAGATCCATTCCATATTTTTTATTGTAAGCTTGTAACAGAGGCTTGCCTGATGTTTTAAGAATTATAACCCTATTATAATACTCACAGTGTTTAAATACAACAAAAATGATGGTCATATTATATTATACTGGACAGTATGCGTACTTTCAAACTACATATTACTAAAATCCCCTGATTGACTTTTTTATGATGCCCATCCCTCTCTCAGCACAGCATAGGAATTCTTATTAATGCTTTGGTTAGATCCTGGATTTCTGTTGTCCTAAATAAACTCCTTCACATGCTCTAATCGATCCAAAACACTGCTGCTCATATTGTCAGTCCACTGGCTTCCTGTACGATTTATTGCAAAATTTTGCTGCTCACACTTAAAGCCCTCCATAACTTGGCTTATTCCTGCCTATCCAGTGCTATACCCCTCCACGCAACGTACAATCATCTGCTGCAGGCCTGCTATCAGTTACACCCAATCGTCAAGTGCTGTGGGTGCTAGGGCCTTCAGTAGATTTCCACTCAGTTCTCCCTCCATATATTCATCAGTTAGACTTCATTGTGCTGTTTAAGTTTCTTCATAAAACACATCTGTTTAAGATGGCATATTTTGTAGTATTTTTTAGTATTTTTATTGCAAGTTGGCCTTGGGTTTCTTGAAAGGTGCCCTTAAATGCATTATTATTATTATTATTATTATTAAATCAAAATACACATGTATGTGGGTACATCATCAAATGACTCCCAGCTTAACCACTTAAAATCCCAGGCTTATTATATACTGTGGCTTAGTATTCAGTAACTACATGCAAGCTGGCAGAATTATTCTTAGGTTATAGAAGTGTGTAACTTTGGACCCACTAATCTTCTGGCCATTAAGGGGTTAAAAGATATGCCCAGTCTTCTCCTTAACCCAAATTTTGTCATACAACCAAGACATGTTTGGTGTCTGAAGTTTGCTCCTTTGGTTTTACATGGACACTACAAGGCTAACGTAGCTAACAAGTAATGGAAGCTTATGTCCCACCAATTAGTTCTGTAAAAACTACATGCCTGACTCATCACACGCTTGCCTAATATAATGGATGAACATCAACAGACCACTAAGCATTGTATGCTGCATAGCTAAAAACCGTATGTTTTCTGTATTTTTCCTCATCATTTGCATTTTGTAGCTTTCAGTTTTTTCCCCAAATATTGCTAAATAAACTTTTTGTTTTCCTCTTTCAGCAGGTAAAGAGGAATCAGTGGCCACATTCAAAGGCAACGAGTTTTTCTGCTATGACCTCTCGATGACACCTATCCAGAGCAGCACGGACGAGATCACCCTGTCCTTCCGCACGCTGCAGAGAAACGGCCTCATGCTCCACACAGGGAAATCTGCGGATTACGTGAACCTGTCTCTGAAGAGCGGCGCCGTGTGGCTGGTCATTAACCTCGGCTCCGGAGCCTTCGAGGCACTCGTCGAACCCGTCAATGGCAAGTTTAACGACAATGCCTGGCACGATGTGAAGGTCACGCGAAATCTGCGGCAGGTAAGAGAGCAGCTCTGTGGCTATTTTAATAAGAAAGGTCATTGTGAGGTTTGTTTACATGCTGATTTTTATTTGTAACTCAGTCTTGGGCAGCACTGTGGAATAAATGATATAATACTCAAAAGTGTACATTCAGATACTGTGCCATTCTTGCATGAATGAGTGGATGGATGAATAAGTGTGTAAATAAAGGGATGGATGAATGGATGGATGGCTGATAATATATATAATAGATGCAATATATAGATGAGTGAGTGAGTGAGTGAATAAAGCAATGGATGGATGCATGGAAGGATAAATGAATAAATAAAGGAATTCATGGATGGATGACTAGATGGGTGAATGGAATGATGGACAGATAGATGGATGGACAGATATATGAATGAATAAATGAATAAATTAATGATGGATGGATGGATGGATGGTCAGAGGAACAAATGGACAGATAAACTATTTGAATTTTACAGGGTGCTAATTGATATTCGGTAATTCTGTAGGCCTGAATTCAGCCTGTCTTGATTCCCCAGTGCTGCCCATATGTTTATTCAGCACCCTTTCAGGTCTGAGACCATCTAAGGACCCTCACTGTGATCTCCTGTTCCAAAACACACAGAGACCCATGCCTGTTGATTAAAATCTTTATCTAAGAGCACGTGTGCAAGTTTCATCATAGTTACTGTTCACTGGGATACCATCTCTCTCCTAAAGCTCAGGTATAATGTTAAAGGCAGTGTTACTCTTCTAAAAAGTCAAAGCACTGTGGATGCCACACGTTGGTGGAATCAAGTGACGCAATTTGATTGAAACCACATCTTAGTATTCATTTACTTAATTGAGTATTCCAATAAATCGTGTAGTCTGGAAATAAATATTTAAATGCTTTACATTGACTGCAAATGCAACATAGAACCACAGAGGATGTGGGGGGGATTAGAAGTTGATACTCCATCTCAGGTTAAGGGAACTGTTGATATCTAAGCAGAGCGAAGGATTTTTCATTAAATGTTCACACAATGTAGAAGCGCAGCTGGCATTTTCAAATAGTGTAAAAAAGCAAAAAAACAGAAAATGTAATTATGAGGGTTTTTGCTTTTTTTTCACCAGTGTGAACGGGGGACAACTTTCTCACACTTTTGGATTTGTTGGTGATTGTTGGTGTTAATTGGTCCATGTGGATGGAGCTTATCCCATAGTCACAGTTTTCACTGACAACAACAAAAGAATGGTGTAATCCAATATTAATTATTTCTCACACGTTGCTCATTGAAACAAGAAGGGACATTCTGTGGAAAATACAGATTCTAAACTTTCAGTCTATAGGACGTGTTAAGTAGAAGAGGAGAAATATTGTAATACGATGTGAATATTTTATTATGATTTAATTTTTTTGATGTGCAGGATAATCTTGCATTGCAGAAGGAAAAACTGAAGACATTGTGGTTGGAATTTGAATGTACAGAAATCCACATGTACAAAAAACTCCAGAGATGAAGCCGGGATCAGACTTTTTTTTTTTGTTTTTCACGATGGTCACTGTCAAATTAAAATTGGGCTGAATTCGTGTAGTTGGTTCTAGGCATAAGCGGAGCGCGTATGGAAGTATTTCAGAGAAATTTGTACAGTGTTAAGTTGTATCATGATTTGTCGTAGTATGTTAGCTAAAATCCACCTAAAATACAAAGGTAAATCAGTAAAATAAGTGAATAGTCAGGTACAGATCACATCTGATGCTCTTACATGTGAAAAATTTTTTTCATTTATTTATTCATTGAAATATTCAACTTATATTGATTTAAAAATGTAAAATAATAAAAATGGTTAAAATGTCTACACGCTTGATTTAATGATTAGGTCCTAGTTCTAGATCTAAAATATGAAGTACATGCAGAGCTGAAGCCTGAACAAAAAGTATAGTAGAGCCTTTGGTTGGTTGAAATGTTTCCCATGATCAAATCACTGAGCATGTTACTGAAATTACACGTGTCAATAATGTAACAGCAAAACGCTTTATGAAATCTGTTCTCTTGATTATTTCACATATGTGCTCTACATGTGTCTGTTTAGTGGCGTGGATAACAGCAAAGCGTGACAGTCAAATTCCTAATGTGTGATGCTGTGATTTTCATGCACAAAAGAGCATGAAAAATCTTGTGAGGGGGACAAAAAAAACAAGTCTCAAGTCAAAATGCCCCAACAGATTTAACTTTAATAAATAGCTTTAGCAAGCACAAATGCCCAAAGAGTGTACACACACTCAGAAACACACAGTGAATGGAAGGTGGCGAAGGCTCAATACCAGTTTGTCAATTGGCGGTTGCAGATAACAGCGTGGAGATGCAATCAATTTCACTTACGATTGCCTTGCTTACTCCTCAGCCTGTTTTGGTAATTGTAATTGGAATGAATGGCTTGTCAGCTTTAATAATAGCTATTGTAATCGTTCACTATTGCGAAAAAGCACAGAGAGAACACACTAAAGAGAGAGCATTAGAGAGAGAGAGAGGTGGGGGAAGGAAAAAAAGGCAAATCTTTTGTCCGACCCTGATTTCATTTACTCTCTCTCATATTATATCGGAGCCAAACTGACACAGTTCGCTTTGAGAAGAGAAAAACAAAGAAGCTATAAGAGAATAGCGAAAGTTTGAGATTATTGCTAAGTAATCTCGAAAGCCTGCAGTGTGCCTTCTCAAAAGATAAAAGGTCTTTCTTAACCAGCTTGCGAAAAAAATAGCAGTGAAGCTCATCCTGTTAATAATCATGCTAATAACTTTATCAGCTTGGAAAAATAGTGAAAAACACAGAATTCATATGAGGAAATTACACTAGACATTTCCAGACATTTTCCCAGAAAACATTGGAGTAAATTCAACAGTTATGTATCGCTATAGTAATGACTTTTTTATTGTTGTGCTTTATTCGAACCCTTTGTCTTGTGTTTACTGTAGCCAATGCAATAAGCAGTGGTGATAGGTGTCATGAAGTGACATTCACTATCAAAACACCATCACATTGCTGTTTTCTGATTGACACTTAGACACGTTCCAGGACTTAAGCTGTCACAGCAATCGTGTGCCAGTCACTAGATTTCGCTAGCCTGCTGTATCTGCTATGTCTGTGGCAGGTATCACAATAAGGCCAATTTTATTTTTCGGTCCTGTAGGTATGAGGTGTTCACTCCGAGTTTAGTAGAGACACTAGAACCTGGCATTTCAGTGTCATTTAGCTACACTGTCTTGGTTACTTACCATCATTTTACCCAAGTACTTTGGAGTTTGTACCTCACCCTTACACAGTTAACACAGAACACGTGTCAGGATCCTCATAGGCCAAAACACTGCAGACTTCAACACACAACACACTTTAGCTCATCAGCTAATTAGCCAGGCCTTCGTGAACTACATTCAGAGTGTTAGATGAGGGTAAACACTAATCTCTGCAGCACTTTGGCCCAGAAGATCCCCAGTTTGACAGGCCTGTTATAGAACGTAGCGTACCATTTTATTATAAATATTATCAATGTCACTGTTGACATTAGAAGAGCTTCTATCTCCACAACTGTATGTTCACAGAAAGAGGTAAATGTGTTATTTAACATTTCCTTTGGTCCATTTTTCATGAAATATTCGCACAATATAAAAGAGCATTTTCAAATGGTGTAAAGAAGGAATTGTCAGGTTTTTTAGTGATTGTTGCTGTTAATTGGTCCATGTGGACAGTTTAAACTGACTATAACAAAAAACATGGTATAATTCAGTATTAATTATTCTTCACTCATAGCTCATTGAAACAAGTGGAGAAATTCGATGAAATATGCAGATTTAAACTCTTAGTACATGGCATATTCTGAAGTAGAGGAGGAGATATTTTATTATAATTTGAATTTTTTATTGTGATTAAAAAGTCCCTGCTGTGCTTATTTTGCAGAAAGAAAACAAAACTGGGTTTGCCTCATTTTTGACGTTGAAAAACAGTGCAACAAGTGCTTGAGCCTGTTGATGTGGAAAGCATGTTAAATGTAACTAATGCATTACATTACTGACTAAGTAATTAAAAAAGTAATTACCTGATTACATAATACAGCACAATGAAAGCAAAAACTCTCAACATCTAAGCAGATAATACTTAGAGTGGAGGATTTTAACGACCACAACATAAGAACACAGGGTTTGTTTTGGTGTAGGAACTGGTTGTTGTAAGGAACTAAACTACTAAGGCAAAAGGCAGACAGATGGATAAGCCCCAGAGTGTGTGGTTTGAAGTGGTAAAGTGAGAGCGACTGTTGTAAGCTAATGACCCTGTGCTTCATAATGTTCTCCCATTGCTTCCTATTGCAGCAGAAACATCACAGCATGGCCATGGCAGCATGATGGCAACACTGCCTGGAGATTGAGGCTGGAGTTCTGTTATCTCTTTTACTCTTTCAAACAAGAACACACATACGCACACACACACACACACACACACACACAGCAGGGGTCAGAGGCATTTGCCATCAGTCCTTGTTTGTTCAGTGGAGTGAGACTGGCTTAATGAGTTTTGGATTCCAACATGTTTTAAACTTGCGGCCAAGAGTTATTCTACATACTCGATGCACAGATACAGAGGAAATGCGCATAGGCTCAAATACACACACACACATATGCATACATACATGCATACTGATACACATGAACGCACAGGCACATAAATGTATATGTATGAAGGCCTATAAGAAAATAAAAAAAGCCCCATAAGGAAAGATGTGCATGTAAAACAAGCAAAAATCAATTACATTAAAGACAGCTCTACAGTCAAATGTGAATGGAAGGAGCAATTCCAGAGTTTTCCTGCTCTACTCAGTTCCTAGGCTGGTTTGTTCAATTCATTTCATATCCATTTGGAAAGAAAGAAGGAAACTTGGATACTGGGGGTCTTTTTTTGAATTTGAGATCATTATTTTGGAATCTTACATGCAGGGGATGAATAAGTATATATTGTATTACTGATGGACCGATGCAAAC